GATATGGGATATTCGTTCGGATCACAAATCATTCGCTTATTTTTGCAGGCTTCAACCCATAAAATCGAAACGACAGGTATATTCCAGTTTTTAGCTTTTTTGTATGTAGATAACAGACCATCTTTAAATATCACATGTGTTGTACCTCTGTAAAAGCGCAAATATATTATTATTTCAAAAATTCATTTTTATATATGTATCAAAACTTTCTACCTAAGAAGTTTGTGATTTACGCGTGCGCCTAATTGGGAAATTACTTTTTTTACACCTTCAGACCGATTGTCTTCGCCGGTACGTACTTCTACATAAACCACAATGTCACGCATTAGCTCCTCGATCGAAGGCGGTGGAGGTGGTTGGCGTTCCTCTACACTGATAATATCTTGTTCTTCATGTGGTACGTCAAAGTTGGTATAAGCAGCGTTATTGGGATTTCTAATAGAGGAAATGTTGTGAGTTAATTATAAACATTGGGAGTTCAGAAAATACTTACTTTAAAGCCCTCATTGCTCGCACGCGTACTGTGGCAGAAGGGCTATTGAGATCACGTTGTATGCGCGCCATTTGTGGATTCTGGTTAGTTGTTGCGGGTGTCGTAGGCTCTTGCGTGAGAGTTCCTTCGACGTTGTTAAGGCTGGCTTGAGGAGCTGTGTTGCTGTCCGTTGATTTTGCCTTGGAATTTATTGCAGTTTTAGAAGAAGTTGCAACGGAGTTACTTTGGTTGCTTTCAAGTACCACCTCTTTGAAAGTTGCTGGTGGCGTTTCGGATATCAAGAGCTTTTGCTGTGAACGCATTACATCGGCGCTGCTCACATAGTCGCTCAATTCGCCTGTAAGCCGTTGTTGGATCACGCAATATGCGCGCGCATATTGGAAAGAAGTCACGGAAATAAAACGTAAAATAAAATATAAAAATGCAATAACTTAGAAGCAACTATAAGTAAATTCCAAGAGATCAACAAATTTAGGAACTAAATTATTTTTCACAATTGCTTTTTTTCTTTTTGTTATCATTTGCGCTATGTCAGAAAATGACAGCGCGAATTTTTCGCAGTGTTACCAGCTAGGTACCTCACATCCCCGATAACGCAACAAGCGGAGCGCACTCCACGCGTCACTCACCATTTATTATAAATAATTTAGTACACATGAAATTTGGAATTAGCCGCTTTTTGTTGTTTTATGTTTCAAAAGTATAGGAAATTTTGAAATAAATTTTTTTTAACAAATTGATATTAGATTCATGACAGTGGAATATTTTTAACTTACACAGGTTTTTTTGCTTTCCCAGGCAAAGACTCTCTGTCGTCAGCTCCATGTACAAGAAAACTGAAATTTTCTATGGATCCTTGGGAAGAGCTACTGAGCCCACTGTCCTCATTAGATGGCACCAATGGCTGGTCAGGTTTGCTTGCAAAAATTTTCAACAATCGCTCATCCCGAATGCTTAATCGACGTTTATTTCGCACAGGCGAGTTCTCCACCATTTCGGTTTGTTTCACTTGGCTTTCTCGCAGTGGCTTCTTTTTCACCATACAATTATTTGTCGGCTGAACATCTTTTCGGGATTTTTCAAGCGCAGTTGCATAGGTTAGCTTTTGCCATGTCGGGGCTCTTGTCACAAACTTATCCATAGTAAACGTAATAGTAACTTTTGTTGACGCAATAAGCGCCAAACGCTGATAATCTTCCAATTAATTAATATTGCAATAGTTTTAAATCTCCAAAATGTAAATTGTACACAAGAACTGCAATTTCGAATGCACCAGTATAAAATGCCTGACAAATTTTGAAAATGACAATCGAGCGTGAGTGGAATGTGGAATGCAAGTTGTCACTTTTTTGGAAACGTTTGGAAAGCAGAACTTTTAAAGCAACGCAGGGTTGCATTTGACAATGAAAAGTTGTAGCCGCAAAAACAACAATAATAAGATATACTTGACAGCAGTGTTGCCAAGTTCTGCATTTGAAAAAGCACTAAAACCAAAGAAAAATCGCGTTTTTTCTCAAAAAAGCACCCAATTTTTTATTGGAGTATTTAAAAGACACTGTATGCATAAAATGCCCATTTTATTGTAGGTTTGCCGATTCAAATTAATAAAAATTAATGTTTCTTGCTCGGCGGTTTACTGTTACGAGATACCGGTGCTTTTTTAATATCATCATAATCATTACGAAACTTCCAATTGCTCTAAATTAAACTTCCACTTTTGTTGCAGATACAGTTATGGTGTCTTCTAGCTAAAAGAAGCAACAAAAAAAAAAAACCAAGCACCAAACTCAAAAATTTTTGCGTTTTGAATTAAGAAAAGCTCTAAATTTAGTGCGAAAAGCACGAATTTGGCAACAGTGGTTGACAGACACTTTGCACAATCGTACAGTTCCATAAGGCCCTGTCTCTACGGGAAAATACTGATGTCGAGACAACCAAGTCACAAAATATATTTCCAATGGAGACCGCTCATTTCTCATGGGCTGTACACGATAACTCGAGCAAAAATTTGGTAAGGGGGTTGCCCTTTATCCAAGGTAGGTTGGGATTGAAAATGGGCGAAATCGGGCAATAACTACGCCCACCTCCCAAGTTAGTATTTGAAGTAGAGTTTTGGCATAAAATAGAACGGTTCCACAATTTTTGGAAAATGGGCGTGGCCCCGCTCACTAATGATTAAATGCTGTTTCTCTGTAGTCCCTTTACCTTTTCCTTTCCATTCCATTCCAGACGTATACGTATATATACGTACATATGTATATATACATATATACGTTCTCTGCCTAAATCAGTGATCGCTGTACTAACACATTCAAACGATTCAATGAGTGAGACTGAAACATACATGTGCTCAGAGAGCGCTCAGTGAGCTACGGCCTGCCGACCACTGGCCTAAATATTTTAAATGAAAAACTGCGAAATTTAGATTTTTTTTGGAATTGTTTCTAACCCGAAATCAAATAATAGAGCCGATTCAAGTTTTCTGATTTATTTTTCGAAATTGCTCAAACTCAAAGCCTTGACATACATAATTTGTTATTTTTCATTGGAGTTTTATGTTCTGAGAATTATATACTACATTTTTGGTAGTATAAACATAAAACCAAAGAGAACAACATTTAAAATGAAAAAATATATATATTTACAATGAAACTAAAAAATTACATATTATATGTATTTAGAAATAAAAGCAATTTAGAAAGAGGAATATAAAGGTGACTTTTGTAGAACTTAAGCTATTTACTTTTGTGATATACTTATACGTATGCGAATAAATATTACTTTTGAACAGAAAAATTCCATAAATTTTTTCTGAATTTTTCATTTATTTACGTACGAGTATTTTTTTTTTTCAGTTGTTATATAATTACTTGTATGATTATTAATAAAAACGTTGTGATTTTCCACAACATTTAATATTTATTTTGTGAATATTTCTAGGACATATTTCAGTCTTTATTTTAGAAGCAAAAAATAGTAGAAGATACAAATACATACAAGTGGATAAGATATAGGGCTAAACAAATGAAAAAAATCAAACAATTATGGCAATATTGTATACATTGTATTACACATACAAACATAGTTTATTACACTACAGCGCAACTTACAAATAAATAAATTTCTAATAACTAAATATTGCAGATACATATTCATACATATTGCCGCCAGTACTCAATTAAGACTGAGTAAAAAAAAAAAATCATAAAGACGTTGCTCCACAGTGTGCCGTAAGATGAAAATTTATTTTAATTCCTTATCATGCTTGCCGATAATCTTCGATGCTCGCAAATATTATAGTTATTTTTTTAAAGCAGTATTTCTCGATTGCCCTATTAAGTTTATTTTAATGGGTCAATCAAACTTTTCTTTTTTCATGTAACAAAGTTCTGCCAAAGGAAAAAAAACAATTTCTTTTCGAAAATCTAGAACTTCTAATTTTTTTCTGATTTAGCAAGTTTATTTTTTGAATAACTCAAAAACTGATAACAGAACGCCCAAAACCGGTATATCTTCAATCCAAATTTGACAAGGGATAAAGGAAATATTTCCACAGTAGTTATATCATATTCCTACCCTTTAAGAAACACAACCAAACTGAAATCTCCAAAGCTATTAAAGTTACAAAAATGGTTCTCGTTTTAAAGACAATACTTGTGGCTATATAAAAGAATACGAAAAATTAAAAAAACAGAATTGGAAATTTAAAAATCGTAAAAGCGAAAACTTATATAAATTTGTGGAACATTTTTTTTTAATATAATTATATGAAGATTTGAAGTATGAATTTTTTTTTTGCAGAATATATGTAAATTAAAAATAAATTTAAATTAAATATAAATTGTTAACATAACAGTATTAAGATTTTGCAAAAAAAAAATATTTTCGAATGTTTATAAGTTCATATTGTATTAAAAATCGGGTCTTCGCCTTCACGATTTGTTCAATTTCATAATTCTGTAGATTGCTTATTGTCAAATTTACTTTATTCTTTTTTTATAGCTCTAAATATCTAATTTAAAATGAAACCAGAACCATTTTTATAACTATGTATAATAGTTTCTGAGGTATTCAAAAATTATGAAATTTAGAATTTCGCATAACTTTCGAAAAAAAAACGTTTAGTTTTTTTCTTTGACGAAACTTTGTTATATGAGAAAAAAAGTTCTTGGTCGATTTGACAGTCCCTGGACCTCTATTTTATTTTACTTCCTTAATTTTTTCCTTTTTTGAAGCGACATTCTTCCCGTAAACACGCGATATGTATTAAAAAATAATAACCGATGTCAAGTATGTGTGTATGCATGTATGTTTGATAAATTTTTTTTTCAAATTCAATTCATTTTGCCAATATAGTGCGCTAAAATTTCAAGCGATAATTGCACTTTCCTTTCTACAAAACACTGTATAAATATGTATATTTTTCATATTGATTTAAGTAAAAAATCACATGCATCCTTATAAAAAATGCTTAAAATTAAATCGTTATTGCTCCAAACATTTTTTCTAACATTTATTCTCTCCAATTTCATTCTGCCCGTTTACATAGTTGCATCGCTAATGCCCCACTACCCGCTCTTACTCATGCGCACTAATCAGGCTGCGCGCATCCCACAATGATAACTGCGATTGGGAGAGTCGATGATGTCGCGCATGAAGTAATTTATATGGATAGTAGGGTGGCTGGTGTGCCGGATACTGATGAAATGTGGCAATGGGTAGCGGTTGTGCAGGTTGCGGCTCGACAATTTGTTGTTGTGAAGCAGAGATTTTACGCGAAATTTTCGGCTCTTTCTGTTTTGGACTCTTCTTTGAAGACTTAATGAAATTCGGTATACGAGCTAGTAGACCACAATAATAGGGATCATCTTGTTTCTTACGTTGTTCAGATTTACTACTACTCTTTTGTGTTGGCGTGAGCATTGGCACTGATTGATTATAGACTTCATAATCGGGCTGCAAAAAGAGAGTGAAATGAAAAAAAAGGAATCAGATTAATGTCATGAGCAGCTAAGTACGCCTAAAATACGAGTATCACCTTTTTTCTAGGCTAACCACTAGCAGTTCAAAATGTAGTAAGTAATCAAAATTAGAGTACATTTTTGATTTCCCAGTATGCAACTCTATACTGTAGATGTGTGTTGGTGTGTGAATGTATGTACATATGTGTGTGCAGGTGCGTGTAGGTGATCAAGTGCAGGAGGTGTACGGCAGGGTACAAGCCGGGAAATATATACAAAAGATCGTGTTAATAAATTGTACGGAAAATTTTTTTGTATGCTTCTAAAAGGTACGTACATTAGGGTGAATCACCCTACATACAATTAAAAAAAAAATCGCTATTGTTTTTCCATCGCACATTTATAAAATCTATTATATTTTAAGACTTCCGCCAAAATATTTCGGAAAATTATTAAGATTTGCGTGACTGAAAAATGTACGAGTTTTTCATAAATAAAAATAGTTTTTAAAAATATTTTTTTTTCTAAAAAGTCACCTCAGATAATAAAAGAATTTAAACTTAAAAGGTTTACAAACAATTTTTTAAAAAATCCCAACGGAATTAGAATAAACAGGTTTTGGCATGTATTTTTAGATCGGTCTAGCTAACGCAAATCGTAGTATTTCTCTGAAATATTTTGGAGAAAATCTTAAAATATAACATTTTCTTAAATTTCATGAAAATACGACTACGATTGAATCCATCGCGATAGCCCAGAATAAATTTTATAATTGCGGTGGAAAAACCGCATCCTAATGTACATAGTATGCATGAAAATTTGAAATTTTTGCTATTACCCTGCCAGAAATTGTACCATTTCAGAAATAGTCACGTAACTAGGTTATGGTGATGGATACTATTTGCTGTTAAATATCTTTCCCGTGGATATAATTGCCCATGGCATATTGAATAGGTATGTGGCGGAGGAGCGGATGTCAACAAAATCAACAACAAAATACACGCGGCTCTCTGGAAAGCAACGAACCTATACGTTGAACCTAATGGTAAGGTTTGTTACACAGTTTGATATAAGCTGGAAAATGGAAAAAACTGGGGCTTGCCTATTTGGGCCGAACTTCAAAAATTCTATAAAAACTTGTTATCTTTCAAGCGGAGATTCAGGCAATGGTAATCTGCGGCAGAGAGTGCCACAAAAGACGCACACTCTCGAAATATATCTGCTTGATGTTGGACATTTAGGCCGCCCTAACCTCTAAGCTAGTATATGATTGCTTTAGTGTCATAAACGCTCTAGGAGCGAAAAACAAAATCTAATGCGGGCAGGAAACATTAATTCATCTGTATGTAAATTTAGTGGCCAAAAAGTTCTATGTGGACCGGCCTTTACACATTTGCTAAGTGCTTGGCCAAGGCTTCTCCCGGACCAGGGGTCGAACCCAGGCCAGAAATATGGACGATATTGAACATAGATGAGAAATTTTAGCCACGTTAGCCATTGAAGTCGTCTCATGGGTGGACAACAAAAGCCAGGGCGTACTCGAATGTAATGAAGGACCAACTGAAGGAGGATTCATCTACACATTGCATGGAAAAATGGTATACAAATCGTTGCCTTAATATAGAAAGGCCCTATCTGACATCGTCGCTGATTTACAAAAAGTCGTAACTAACTAAAAATCGAAAATTTACGTTTTAATTGATTATGATGCATTTGATCGAATTATGTGACCTCACATCGTTTTATGCAATAAAAGATTTTAGTTAGTTACGGCTTTGTGCATTTCAGCAACGATGTGAGATAGGGCCTTTCTATATTAAGGCAACGAAATACAAAATAATCTATACATATAATAAAATGGTAACAGGCCGATGTCTGTACATTATATATATTAAAGAAAAATTAATATGGCGGGTCTGCCTTCGGGCAATAATAGCCAAATCAAAAATTTTTTGAATTCTTGTCTGTCTATCTGTCTGTCTGTCCGTTATCCGTCTGCCTGTATGTGCTCCTACCGAGTTTGGTGGGGATTGGTGAGGGGACTTTAGAGCTATAGCATTTTATCATAAGCGGGCGGTGCCACGCCCATTTTCCAAAAATTTCATAACTGTCTTATTTTATGCCGAAATTCTGCTTCGAAAACCTAACTTCAACAATTTTGATCCAGTATTTGTGGAAATATCGTAAATTTGCATATTTCGAAAATACCGTTATATGGGAGGTGGGCGTGGCTATTGTCCGGTTTTAGGAACATATGTAAGTATATTTGAGTAAAACAATTCCTTCTACTCACCTTTGGCACATATGGGCTTTCATCGATAAATCCTGCATTAAAAACGCTGCGACGGCGTCCTTTACTCGAATGACTTGAATGATTCGAATGATTCGAATTATTTGAATTATTCGAGTCATCAGAAGCGGCAGGTGTGGGATAAATGAGACCGACCTGACTCTCAATGGTTGAATACGGATCCTCACTGCCTGCTGTCGGCACACGCATACCCATCGCATCCAGCGACTTAGGTAGCGCCTGCAAGCGATTTTTCAGCATATCAATAGCGACTATATTAATGACCAGAATCCAAAGCGGGTTATTGATTAGATTATTATTGGATTTGACTAATGAAATGGCTGACAAGCATTGTCGTTCCAGACGTCTACTTTCCGGATATGAACGTGAGAATTCACGATTTATATTAGTCGTATATTTGCGCATATCGAAGAGCTGCAAAAGAGGTGAGAGTTATTTAAAAACTTTCAAAGCTTAGGAATTTCTGTGCCAGCAATTTACCTTTGCTGATGTGCCAGGCGCTAGCGCCATATTTGGCATTTGTAATATATCCGCGCCAATAACCGTCTCCTCGTTAGCCATTGAAGTGTTGTGTACGAAGACATTGCTCTTGCCATAACGTTTGATAAGTATATTACCAATATCATCCATTTTAATTTTGAAACCTTCACCGACTGATTTTTTCGCTACTTTTGTATCAGCATCACGCATGGGATTATCAAAACCGCTCAAGCCGATTCTGCGTTTTGGAGAGGAAGAAGTTAATGTATAAGTTAAATGA